CCAACTATGTGACAGCCACTGGATGCTACAAATTGAGGTACACTATAATAGTGATGCACCACATCTATGGCTTGTCCTTTGTCCTTATCTGCAGACCTTTTAGAAGAACTAGTATGTCCTCTTCAGACTCTCCTGTGTCTGCAGGGATTCTCCTCTCTCTTATAAAGCTGCCTTCCTCTGTCCTTTCTCACTCACACATCATACTGCTGGACTCCACTTCGAAGATCACATTTCTTCCCACATCTTTGTCGTACCTTCAGCTCATTAAAAGCACCTCAATATCAGTTATCACTAGCATGATCCTCTCAACTCACTTGCCTGCTTGACTGCTAGAAGCTCCCATCTTTCCATCATTTAAAAAAATCTTCATTTAACATAATCAAACCCAATCATTAAATCCAGCACTAATTCGCCTCTTACACAGGATTTACTCCAGAGCCAGAGTATTTATTTTCTCTGTATTTGTGCTTCAATGAAATCATATTTCCCTTTTTTTTTTTTTTAATTTCAGGGAAGGGTCTACAGGGGGTTCAGGGTTTCATTACTAGATTGGACTCAGTGATCAGCCTGTTTACAGCCTCCTATGAGCTGGGATTATAGGCAAGCACCACCACACCTAGTGTCAATTGCCATCTCAGAGCGCCCAGTAGGCGGGGCTGGCACAGCAGGTCCAGGGATCAAACCCCCAGCCCCTGTGCCTGCTTGCTGGTGCTTTAATCCGGTGAGCTATCTGGCCAGCCCTTGAAATCCTATTTCTATTGTAGAACACATGACTCCCTCAATATCTCAGTTCTGGACACATCTACCATCTCCATCAGGCAATGGGCAGAGAAGATGCGTGAAGTAAAATGACAGGCTAATGCTTGTAGTTTTATTTCATTCATCCAACAACTTTATACACCGTTGGGTTCTTCATCTGTAAAATGGAAAAAATACCTACTCTACAAGGACACTGTGAGTTCAATGGGAAATTGAGGGAAACAAGCTGGTATAGACAAGGGGCTCAAAAAGGCTACTGCCTGAAGCCATATGTTTGTTCTGCGTCCTTGAAAGAGATCTTATCTCCGTTTTCCCAGGGCTTGCGTGTTACAACAGTATTAACACCTGCCTAGCTGTTTACTGAGGATGAACACATGAAATGAAAACTGAAACGCTTTTATTTACCACTGAAGTATCCTCCCAGGGGGTGAGGTTAGAATAAGAGAACCATTAGAAGCCGCTATTCACATCTTTTGGGCCCTCTCTTAAACTAGGGCTCTCTGAAAAGAAACAACATAAATAAAACAATACTCTTTCCTGACTCGCTGCTTCAGTGAAGTCCACTGACATCTCTGTAGTGTGTGTAGAAACATGGGACACAGCAGCTTTTCAAACGGTATTTGTTTCATTACTAGATGACTTTCAGGTGTAGGCAGCATTTTCTATGCCAGAATGCTAGACCTGAATGCCGCTCTATGGTCCACGGCTTTCATTCCTATGGCGTCTTGCAATATTTTGTGGTGGGTTGTAACAAATTACTTCATTCCTTGATAAGAGGAATTCACCAAACAGCTCAGGCTGGTTTTTTTCTAACCAACATTTTATCCTACCTCTTCTTACAATGAAGTATGGTTGTTTCTCAGTCACCAGTCACCTTTGGGGGATTCATTCCAGGACCCCAGTAGACACCAAAATCCATAGATGCTTAAGTAACATGGCAAAAACTTTGCATACAGTACACACATGTCCTACTAGACACTTAAAATTACCCCTAGATCACTTACAATGTCTCATAAAATGTCGACGCTATGTAATAATTGTTATACTGTATCTGAATAATGACCAGAAAAAGTATTACATACACAACTTTCCAAATACTTTTAAAGTAGAAGACAGTATTTATCACTCAGAAATTAAAAAACATCAGAAGGAAAATCAAAACTGAACATAATCTAAACCTATGATATGCAATATATATATAGTTTTTAAATGTATTTTTAAGTAAACAATAAAATTTGTATAGCCTATAAAGTTATTTTTAAAGCCTACAAAGCAGAAATAAAATAGGATGAAGTGACTGACAAATATAAACACCAAACTCAATAAATGAAAAAAATAACAGGAGAAATAACATACATATGTGTGCATATATGAGTGGATGGATGGGTGGACCGACGGATGCACGGGTAGCTTGACAGATAGCTCCCAGTCAGTCATCTATGTGTTCCACACGCATGCGGTCTATCTGCAAGGTCTGAAAACTATTGGGAGATTTTGAGGGCCACTCATCTTCAGTGGAAGAGTGTGTCTCACTCACAGGAAGCAGTCCACATTCTAGTCCAATTAAGCTCTTTCTAGTCTGGTAATTTAGTTTTGCTTACAAAGAGCTAAAAATCCCCCATAGTAGGGCTTCTGTCCACTGGTGCTGCTTCTGCATTGAGGAGCCATGCAAAATATGTCCGCTTCCTTTATCCTTTTACAGGCTTTTAGGAACCTGAATAAGCACATCTAATTCTTCATATGTGACTTTTCATTATAATGCTTCAGTAGGCTAAAAATGATCTGCAGGAATTATGAACCTGAAACAGAGCTCTCCGATTCGAGATCACCAGAGAAAGCCAGAGGTTTATCCAGCTCTCTTAATGAATCTCTATTCTGGTCTTCCCTCTGTAAGATATCCTGACACTACAGAAAATCAAAAGTAGCCATTGTGCCGTATCTCCCCGCTGAAGACGAAATCCAGGAATCAGCTCTTCTCAGTCTTTTGGCTAAGATGAAGTCCAAATTCTTTTGATCTGCAACCGGTTTGCAGAACCCGCAGATAAAAAAACAACTACGTTCAGCAGGACTTTTCTACACCTCTCAATCCTATGCCAAGAAAACCATACATGAGGAACATAAGAAGGAGTAAATTATAAATGGCTTTGGTGTCATCAGATTCAAAATTCCTCTTTTGGAGCATTTCACACTTTGTTGCTTTTGCTGAGTGTGACAAGAGATGTAGGAAACCTCAGAGACGAACTTGGGACCTGCTCACTGAAGAACAATGCAGAGCGCTTATTAGACTTTAATATTAAAACAGAAAACTCCTCCTGATCACTGTCATAGTGATGGATGTATTGAGACACCTCAGGATGTTATTACAGAAGCTTAGCATTGGGTGACATCTCAGTTGCTATGGATTGCAAACCTACAGATCAGACACAGGCCACATGGAGCTCAGACCCACATTTAAAATTAAGAACACTTCATTAAAAAAAAAAAATCAAACCTTCTGTTATTCTTGAAATCCAGAGTTTTAGAGCTGGGCAGCAGCAGTCAACTCTAGTACAGTAGGAACTGCCCTCCTCCTGAGGGTCTGCCTGCCAGACAGTCTTCAGTCCACACTCCACTGCCTCGTCCCTTCCTCGGGCCAGCTCAGCTCCTCTATCTCATATGTCAACCCCTGTACACATCTGTTATGCAACCACAGTTTTTAAAGGAGAGGGGCACAGGTCCAGAAAATGCTTTCCAACACTGGCCCTGTGACCTCCCATAAGGTTTAAGTCTTGGATCCCTACGTTTTGTATTGAGAGTAATTCCTTGACCTCATGGTTATCACGAGGAGTCAAAAAAGAAATAAATGAAAAGCCGTATGTAAATTCTAATGTAAAGCATTTGTCATTCTTACTATCTCCCAGCACTCTGTGAGGGGCATAAATCCTTTCCTACCTCAGTTATGACTTGGCTTCCTTGTTCCTCCTATCATGTCATCCCATATGGCAGTTTAGAATCTAAATTGAAAAATATTATCCCCTTCGCATTATTTAACAGGCAGTAGGAAAAATGAACAGATATCAAAGAGAAACAAATTGAACAGTGAATCTTTACCAAGTCATTCCTATTTGTGATGAAGGTAGAAAATCAGTGCAAATTATAATCCCTGGATTGCTGAGGATGACTTCAAGAGCTAGGTTACAAGTTTACCCACTATGCGCCGCAGGCCTCGAAACAAAATTGGCAGCCAGAGTATTAGGGGACGCTGTGAAATAGGGACTCTGTCTTCTTGTGGGCTCTTTTATCATTTTGGTAAAGGATCCAGCACATCAGAAAAAAAGTCCACATTTAGTATGAGCTCTAGAAGCTTAGAATGAAGTAGTAAGGCATTACATTTCTCTATCTCTATCAATATACACATACATCTCAAAAAAATCAACAAGAGGTTTGAAAGAAAACAAAATATTCTCAGCAATGAGCAGACACGGGGATAATTACAATTTAGTCACAAGGCAGAAGATGCAGAAATGTCAGCACAGATGCATGTCATAAATGCTAACTTGTTTCTGAGGCATTCACAGATGTATACTCTTGTTCTGGTCAATTTACCACTGAAAACCAGCCCGGTGTGGGGAAGCACAATAAAATCATCTCATTTAATTGTTAAATAATCATGCCCAAGCCACCTGCAAATCAGAACCGGAACTAGAAAGAAAGAAGGGAGTTAAACTGGAATCAGCATTTTTTAATAAGATCTCCAGAACAGGCTAATTTATGATTCACGACACGATCTGTTGAAAAATTCATCTGACGAATCCTTTTTAAAGCATATCATATAGTGCAATTACGGCTTTTCTCGAAGTTGAATGAAACCGTAGCCTAAATGCAAATTAACGGATGTCAAATTGCCACGAGATCCTCCGTGTATACCTTATTTTAAAAAATCAAAATACCTAACAGCATCATTTAAGAGACCAGTTCTTTCGATCGATGTCCCAAGACTGATGTTTAAGCACGTCTCCTTGGCAACCAAGGAACCTAGAGCACACTGGGCTGGGGAAAAGGCGCAGGGGGGAGCGACTCGAGGGCTGCAGACAAGTAACCCGAGTAGTAACTGCTCCCACTAGACGACGCGGTGGAAGCTGCGTGCTCCTGAAATTTCAACTCCACGTCCCTGCCCCGCTGGCACCAGCAGCCTCCCGCCGTCTCCCTCGGGTCCGCAGGCACCAACCCCAAACAGGTTTCAAAGAGCGGGTCTGGCTTACCCGGAGGGGTGAGCGGTCTGCCTGGTTTCGTACCGAGGCGGCAGCGCGGGCACCGGGCTCTCCCCGAGGCACGATGGCTCTGCTTCGCCCCACGAGCCCGGGAACAGCCAAACCGCAGCGGCTTCGCCCTGCGGGCTCCGGCTGCGGTCGCGGAGACCCTGCGCGCCAGCGTGTGGCAGTGCGCGCGCGCGTGTGTGCGCGCCCCCGCGCGCCGCGGACTCCCCCGCCGGGAAGAGCGCTCCCTAGTAAATAAAAAGCCCCAGCCCGCACCGCAGGGGGCACGGCCGGCTCGCTCTGCCCGCGGCCGCCGCGTCAGCCCCGAGACGCACCTAGACGGCCGCCGGGGCGGGCTCAGACGCCGGAGCGCCCCGCCCC